TTTTAATTTTAAATTGTTTTGCATTATATGCCTGTTTGCTGTTTTATGGGTTTTTCCCATTTGCCGTTCAAACATATATTATTTAAGAATCTCTATTGAAATCCAGCACAGCCATTGATGCACGGTAGAGATTGCATCTTTAGATCTCCGATCTTGTTCAAAAATTCACGGACTAGTGCTGTCTCGTAAGAATTTTGTAGGACGCGTTAAGAATGACAAAATATTCTCTGTATCTACTGGAACCGAGCCGCATAGCTTGTATTCCACTATTTGCATTCACACCTGGGCTGTGTATATATATTGCCTTGGTTTGGCTCTGTAATCATTAGTGGTCGTGGGACTAGTTAGGGCCCTACCTAAGCTGGTCGAACGTTTCGTTCGGGTCTGTACCCTAGCTTCACTGATGAAATAAGCTTTCCTGACACTAGAAGTGTGTTTTAATGACGTTCTTCAAAATTCTAATTTTCTTATTGTAACATGAAAAAAAAAAAAAAAAATCAGCTAACGGGTCCTGAAAAGTTAGGTCTAGAATTGTTTTTTCTTTTTTTTTTTTTGTTGGCCAAGGGAGGGGTCAGGACCCATTACCTCCTCCCCCAGATCCGCCAATGTGAATCACGAGAAAATTTAACTCGGTTGGGGACTGGATAAACATTCTATTTCCCATCCTTCGCCTCCTTCCCTCTTTCATTTCTTTCCAATCATACAAAAATCTCCAGACATTATATATTTTTGGCCAAAAAGTGGTCCCCCCCCCCCCGGGTTTCACCGGCCCGTTAAACATTGTAGGTGAAATTTTTTTTGCAAAAAAAAATAGGGGGAGGGGCGTACGCCCCTTACATCTAATCCCCATTCTAATATTTAACAAAGGGCCCAGAAATCAATTAAGCCAATCAGCTGTTGAATGTATAGGTCTCAAGTCACTCACCCCAATGGCAATAAATCGTGCTTTATTTAGGCTAGCTAGGCTAGGATAGGCCTAGCCTAGATGAGACCCTAGCGCCCCGCCTAGGGCCTAGACTAGCCTACCTACACCATTGAAGATCACCAGTGTTTAATTATTGACTATAAAAGTTCTTTTGAATGGATATTGAATTAAAATGTTCTACCAGATTGAACGATCAAACTATCATCTGTTGAGAGAGAGAACGTTACATGCCATCCTGTAATGTTGGTCAGGGTTGCCAGATAGTCGACAGGCTTCACGGCCAAACACACGCCATCTCACGGCCAAATTCGGCCAAAATTTTTTTCGATATCGGCCAAAATTCGGCCAGATTTCAATCCGATTAGAAGACAACCAGTGGGTACATTCATTTGAAATACTGCAAAAATTAAACGAAAATCAGCAGTCAATCGTTTGAAATTGAAGAAATTCAAATGATATACACAGAACATTGTTAAAAATAAATAGCCTATGTTATTTTAGTTGCTGACATGCAGGCCAATTCAGGGGCAAATCCATAGGTGTCCGAAAGGGGGAGGACCGGGGCCGAAAAAAGGGGAGGGGGGGCGAAAGTGGGTCCGATTGAGATAACAACATCTTATAAGAAATTTTTCTTTTCTAGACGCCCGTTTGGGCGATCAATTTTTATTTTTTTAAATTTTTTTATACCACCCCTCCTCCTTAAATCCACCTTTGCTATTTAAAATCACAATATTAAGATTGATCTAAATTTGAATTAAATGTATTAAATATTAATGTATATTGTAGTCGATCTATAACCTGCAATTTTAAGGGCCTGTTATTGGCAAATCCGTGGCTCTCTTTAATTAGAATGAATTAAGTTACATAAAGTAACACAAACTGGCGTTAAAACAAACCTATGAAAACTTTAATAAATAATTTTTATCTAAACTTTCGAAATTCGCCTCTGAATGTTATTGTCGCAGTACTTAAAGCAATAAATCAATGTTGCTATCAGAATTATCTTCTTCATTCTCATATGCAACCTAACTCCAGAGTAACTTCGAAGAAGTCTCTTCAAAACTTGCTTGAAATTGGAGGTGCCATCGGACCCGAATGAGCATTGATATATGGCGCCTTACATAAAGACCACAGCGGCACCTAGGGCTATACAATTCAAGTGGGCAATAATAAATTAATTAAAGTACAGTATTTAATTTATATTCAAAAGAGATAGAACCTCCACTAGTAAGATGGAACATACACAAAGACGCGCAATATATGGTACAAACTTGCAATGAACTGTCTTCATAAAGCTTAAACGAGGATAAACTTCATAACAATATCTTTCATCCGAACAATTTAAATTATTAAATGTAACTGTTATCTTTTAAATAAACTCTCTTACGTCAAATCGGGGAACATATATTAAGTGTTTAGTGCAAGTACAAACAAGTACAAGATTAGAATCAAATCAAAATATCCAAAACAAGTCTACGTTATATTAGGCCTATATTGAAAAAAAAATGTAATCTTTTCAAAAATTCGGCCAAATATAGTTTGGCCGTGACTTTTCAAATGCTAAAGCAAGGCAAATTTTTATACGGCCAGATTTGAGGAATCTGGCCGTCAAAAAGGCCAAATGGCAACCCTGATGTTTGTGAATGTCTAGGGGATCATCTTAATAATTCAACACTCACTGCATGTGGAGAGCTGAAAACTAGCTAGTGTACTTTTGGGCTGTGATACCTTCTGTGCAGGGATCGTCTCAAAAATTCTGTTTTTGTTTTTTTTTTAACTTAAAGAAAATGTTTTTTCTTGCTAATTTTTCACTAGACAACCGGGCAACATGAGTATAAATAGGCTAGCCCGGAGCGGGGTTTTTTTTTTTTTTTTTATCCCGGAGTGGGGTTTTTTTTTTTTTTTTTATAAGGGGGGGGGGCGCGCATCGCCCCTGTAAACATCTTTCTGCAGATTAATAATCAATTATTGCTCTCTCACAAATGATTCGTAGATTGTATATTCCCTCTCTAGTTACAGTACCTAGTCTGAATCCACTTTGGAACCTGCATGTCTATTTTTGTTGTGATTCTGCATAGAACAACCTTGAGCAGCAACTTGGTAACATGGCTCATCAGGCTGATTGTCCTGAAGTCACTGCAATTTTCAGCTTTGGTTTTCTTTGCAATAGGAATGAAGGTGGATTTCAGCAATTCTGTGGGTATATGACTGCTGGTGTAGATAAGGTTACAAAATTCATTCAGGCTAGAAAGGTTGATGTTATCGAGTGCTTTAAGAGCTTCTATCGGTAAGTCATCAGGACCCGGAGATTTTCCGTTTTTCATTCCACTTAAGACATTTCAACTTCTTGTATTATTTCTGGATCGTCAGCTAATGCAAATTTTGGCATCTCTCCTCTTGAATCATCTGAATATAGATCTTTAACATATTCAGCCCACCTTGTTGCAATATCTTCTTTATCAAATAAAACTCTGCCATTTTTATCTTTAATGCAGCCATATTCATTCTTCTCCCTTTTACCTGACATGTTTTTCGCTTTCCTGTGCATCTCTTTAATTTGAAATTCTTTTTGTAATTTCTCTACTTCATCACATTGCTCATTTAGCCATCTTTCCTTTGCTTGCCTACAATCACCTGTAATTTCCCTGTGAAGTAACCGGTATTTGTGCTGATATACAGTGAAAATATGCTAAAATCAGGCCTATTTTATAGCTCCTTAGGATGAAAGGTGACCCCCAATTTTTATTACATATTCTGAAAGCACATAAGTTGTAAATATGATTTTATATATCTTAATGGCTGATCGGACATTGTGACGTCATCATATTGGCATCTGAATTCAAAGAAAGTGAATTATAGCTATGACATCATTTTTGAAAATACGCATTTGAGCGTATCTCGCTTATCCTTGATCGATCGTCTTCCAACTTTGAGTATGTTATAGCTGAGACAATTCTCTTTCAAAAATTTGACTTCTTTTTACATTTTGATGACGTCATCATGGTCAAAAAAATTGTTTTTTCTGACCCCCACATCTTTCCTCAAAATGTTGATGAGCCCATATCATCTTAACCATTCGTCGTTTCTGAATCATATTAAGTGAGCATAATCTTCAGGTCAAGGGTGAATGTCAGGTACCCTAATTTTCCGTTCGCGCGACTTAACGCGCACGTACGCGTGCGTTAACAATTATGTATACTTAAAATTATGCCTACTTTTAATCAGTTATAGCTCCTTAGGATGAAAGGTAACCCCTCATTTTTATTACATATTCTGAAAGCACATGAATTGTAGATATGACTTTATAAATCATTATGGCTGATCGGACATTGTGACATCATCATATTGATATCTATTTTCAAAAAAACTGAAATTTTATTTATGACGTTATTATTTTTCAACTTATTTGAACGTATCTTGCTTCTTCTTGATCGATTATCTTCCACCTGTGAGTATGTTATAGCTGAGACAATCCTCTTTCAGAAGTGTCCCTTTATTTTTCATTTTGATGACGTCATTATGGTAAAAAAGAAAGCTTTTTTGGAGCCTTCTCATCTTTCTTTCTTAAAAGATGTAAACAATTTTAAAATAGAGGGCGGCAGACTGTATTTCGACTCTATCAGACCGATAGTTCGTATACTGTAAAGGCAAAATTCGTGTGGCATTACCAACCAACAGGGGGTTTTAAATTAAACTTGACAAGGTTTAAATTCATGTGCCATTACCATACTCTGGCACGTCGTATAAGGTATTCGTACTTGTGCGTTAAAATTTTAAAATTTTTAATATCACTTTTCAGATAATTTAAAGCACGTTTCAGGTCATTTTCAGTATTCCAAAACTTTCCATAATTTACGCGCCGTACGCTCATTTCCACGTCCACAGCACGTACTGAAGCTGGAAATTACGTTTCGGTTACATGTTTTGGGTTTGTGACACTGTATTATTATCATTACCGTGCGCACGGACGTTAAGACGTATGTGTACACATTCGTAAGTCATTAGAATTCTCAAAATTACTCTTTTTAAAAACTAAATAGAGCATGTTTTAGCATATTTAATAATTTTCAATCAGCACCGCGCGTGCTTTGTGTTTTTTTGCCGTAAAAATGTGCCTTTTGGTAAATAATTTTGGAAAAAAAGTTAGGCCTAATGAATAATATATACATGCATCACAAACAACTTGACACTAATTCAACTCTTTTGCACAAATACTAACATTTTACCAAAACCTTTTAAAGTAAAATTAAATATATTTTTATGGATAAAGTATACAAATTCAAATATATGTTTCTGATTTATTAATGTCACTTAAACTCATTTGCCAGTATTGAGTGAATTTGAACATTTGATAGCCTTGAAAATAAGAAAATTATTAAAATCATGTTTTTTAGCCTAAAAACAGGGTTTTTTGGTAATAAATATTTTCCTGGTTATTTTTACAGAAAATGTTCCATTAAAGCAAATAGAAATACCTGTACTCTGAGTAACTACAGGCCAAATTCAACTTCCCTTAATAAATACTAACAGAGTTACAGATTTTTCCTGATTTTTGCAAAAAGTTTACCAAAACCGATGTTTTTAAAGTAAAATTAAATATATTTGTATGGATAAAGTATACAAAATTAATATATCACCCAAACACCGCAACGCTCGAGTTTGAAACATACGGGTAACTAGAGATGTGTATAAGAGACAGATATTCCTGTTTATTTTTGGAGAAAATGTTCCATTAAAGCAAATAGAAATGCATGTATTCTGAGTAATTTGAGACCAAATTCAACACAATCTGATAAATACTAACAGAGTTATACGGATTTCTCCTGATTTTGTGACAATCAAACTCAATATCAAAAGAGAGAGCGGAAATGTTAATTAGTTTTCCAGCAAGTAGAGAAAGGCCTAATGTCCCAAAAGATGCTTGGAAATCAGGAAAATTTTTAAAGGGTAGAAACATCTCATGGCTCCTGATGTATGTCTTAGTGACTGCTGTTTGTTTTTAGGATGTGATCTGGTTTTTCATGTCCATTTTTCGTGATTATGACTATTCTGGATAAAGAATGTTTTGAGCAGAGGTGGATTCAAGGCCCCACCCCCCCACTTCATTTTTTAAGGGAAAAAAAAAGAAAAATACATTCAAATTGAAGTGCGAGAATGTAATTTCCGGCCGTCTAGAGATGCCCTAATCATAAATTTTCTTACCTCCGCCCCACCATGGTTGGGTGAGTGGTTCCTCAGTCTGTGAATGTCCCTCCCTGGTTCACCTCTCTTTTCAATTCCTGCATCTGCCACATTGGATTTATTATGTAATTATTTTGCGCTTATTTATAATGTGTCTATTGCAATTTTCACTTTATCCTCTCAAACAGTCTTAAGAATGTTCAGAGTGCGCTACTTCACAGGGGGGTTTGCCCCCTTGACCCCGACGGGGTCCTTCGTAATTCGCATAACGGCTTCCCCCCTTTCAAAATCCTGGCTACGTCCCTGGTTACCCTTCTTAAATAGTGGGTTAATGAATGCTGAAAGCCAAATCATTAGGTAATGTTCCGGTTTCTAAACTTTGAATGCATATGGAATAAAGGATTGGAGCAATTTGTTCCGAGCATTCTTTCAGGATGCGATTAGGTAGATTGTCTGGACCTGAGACCTTTAACTCAAGTTTAGAAATAAGGCTCTTCATGCCGGGCCTAGTGATGTGTAACGGTTGCAGTTCAGGAGGCTCTGAACCTGTAATGGTTGGCATAATCTCAGTGCATTCTCAAGTGAATGCTGATTGGTAATGGTTGGAGAGAAGGTTTGATTTTTCTAATGGGCTGATTGCCAAGATGGTATCTTCTTTTGGGGGTTAATACCATGTCTGTCCTTCTGAAGGTCTTTAACATATTTGGAAAAAGCTCTTCTTGAATTGACATTTGCAGGACTGAAAATCATATCGATGTGGTTCCTTTCCAGGTAATAAACATATTTTGTTTAAAGGAAGCCATTAGATGTAAAGAAAAGGTCTAACACATTAGCTGTAGTTCTAGTGACTCTTGAGGGCTCTAGTTGGATCTGTTCACTGAGAACTAGAATTGAGGCAGATGTCAAGCATGAGTTCAGAATGTTTTATTCTGGTTGCACCGGTCATTACTTCGAGGTCAAACCAGTTAAAATCAGGAAGGTTAAAATCCCCTGACAACAAAACATTCTGGTCAGGATATTTGTGTTTTAGGAAGGTCAAAGTTGCCTCCAGCGCTTCAAAAGAGCCGCATTCTCTTTTGTTAGGTGAAGCATAGAATGAAATAATGTGAAGAAACTTTGCTCCCTTAAGTTTTATTTGGATCATTGTCATGGCACAGTTAGGAGAGACATTTTCAACTAAAGTAGCTGAAATCTCTTCTTTTACTAGTATAAAGGTGCCTCGGCCATTATTATAACAAGTGATATCCGGGTGGAAAAACATCATTGTAGTTCGTCATAATATTATCGAGCAGTGACTATGTACCCATTATAATGTCAGGTGAGAGAGAATCGACACTGTGCGTAAGTTGAAGTTTTTTGCTTCGGACACCCTGAAAATTAGCTGAAATAATGCAAAGTGAAGATTGTATTCTCTTGTTGTGTTTGATTCTATTATTGATTGGTGAGGACGTAGCTTGTGGAAGTAAAAAAATAATAACAAATTGCATTTGCAGTGAGTACTTGTGATTGATGACCAACTTCCATAGTTAGTCAAATGTATGAGACCATAACATCAGCCTAAGCTCAGAGGCTTAGACCAACTATAACTTGGTGATAGGGAGAAAAGGGAGATGATGCTAGCAGTGGGCCTAGCAAAAACCATTGACAAAACACTCAAAATCGAAAGAGAAAAAGGAAAAGATTTCTCAGGCTTTAAATGAAGCAAGGCAAAATGATTGAACATGATGAAATACTCTAAGGAATTCAGAAGACAACTTGCAAGGCAGACCCAACATGTAGATAAGAAAAAAGAAAAGTAGATCATTCTAATCAATCTATTTCTATCCTTTGATTTTAAGAGTCCACTTTCACCGTTGAAGCAGTACAGCAAGATGGCCCAGAACACATTGAACTAGTACTGTTACTCTATCAGGCATATATTGCATTGATGTCTGTTTCAATAGTACCTGTAATTAAGCCCTGCACTTAAACCACTACTGTACTTTATTATTATTATGATTTCCATTGTTCTGCTGGTATATTGAATTGTTTAGGCGCCCCAATTAACTTTTTAACAAGGACATTAAGGTAGGTAGGTAGCCCTGCGGTGCGATAATAGGCCGAGGCCCTA